GTTCAGAATCGTTTTTCGTATACAATGATATAATAATATCATTGGATTCAAATTTAATTAATTCCATCCATTACAGTAACCCACTTGTAACCTAGCTACTATACAGCAGAGCGACATCCACGACTTACCCGCTTTTTTTGTTTTTTTTGTTCTATAACGATTGAAGATAAACATACATTACGTGCTCATATATTTGTGTTTTTTTTACAAATATATGTTTAAAACTCCAATGGAAATATAAATATTCTAAAGATGTCATAATAGCAGATAGCATACTTTTATACAAGAGAATATTTTCAATACACAAATTATATTATATATGTATAATAATACGCGTTCCATGTTTTCGGTTCAGTGAGAGTTGCGTGGCCGAAATATTTCGGATATATAATTTGATGAAATACATAATGTAAACAAAATAACTAAGACCACTATTATCAAAATTCGTGTCTATTAAGTATATTGTTTGTTTTAGAAACGATTATGGGCACTGAAATGAACGCTCAAAAAGGTAAATCAGCTGAATATGTTCATTCGATTAAGAGGTATACCTATATTTTAAAATATACTGATATACTTACCAATGAAACTAAATAAAGAATAATTATTTAGTGTGGTTACAGTTAGAAATCGTTATAATTTTTAACAAAACAATAAAATGAATATTTTAATTAGTATATATTCAACTATATATCTATAATTACTCAAATTAATACATTGAATTATAATCATTTATCATTTTGTTTATTTTTGAAGTGCTTGCAAATCAGTTATTGAACGTATTTTCAAATTCTGGCTGTGGAATGACCTGGTTTTTAAAATGAGTAAAAGTGGTCAAAGTTTTTTTAAATCAATCAAAGTTCTACACGAGTATACTGATAATGTTTGTACATTCGTATTTTAAAATAATACATTTTAATCATTTACTTAACCATTAAGGGTAGTTCTTACACTGTCGTTAACGTAACTTAACCAAGTTACGTATAACGGTTAACCGACGGTTAGTGGGATTTTTATCGGCAGAATTCCTCCGGTTAAGTTTCTGTTAATTTAAAGTTAAAACAAGTTACAATATCTGTTTAAAACAGATATTGTAAGAACGGCCCTTAATGCTTATTGTGAAAATTATATAATTAACGCCACTATCAACTAACACGATCGGTAAAAGAGACATGATATGAAATATTGGATTTTATCCATAGTTATTCTGTCAATCACCGTCCATCGATAATGTATATAATGTATAAGGTATAACCTTATAGAGATGCATAGATAGATCGCCTTCGCATGGTGCTCCCTGAGTGTCATACGATGTAAAAAACATATATTGTGTTTTTAATTTAGGTAATTAAAAGTAAACGAGCGTCGTTGAATAACTCTGGAATTGAAAAAGTTCAGTCAGACAGTAAATTTGGTATGTACAAAATTAAAGATAATTGTTATTTTCCCAGACCATCATAAATTTCAATAAATTCAATATTTTTAAAATTGATTAATCCTATTTATTCCGTATTTATGAAAATACCACTTACACAGTTACACATATTTTGTTCTACCGATCGTTTAGGAAAAACGCAAAAGAAATCGTTCTTAGACTTACTCCTTAATGTTTTGAACGACACGCCGGATCAGATGAGTGACAGAGACATTCGTGAGGAAGTAGATACGTTTCTTTTTGAAGGACATGACACATCTTCCATTGCGATGACGATGATTTTGGTTTTACTGGGGATGCATCCGGACATACAAGTAAGGTTTTTTTTTTTGCTTCGTTTTACTTTTTAACAATACCTAATTGTTATTTAACAGGATCGAGCCAGAGACGAACTACGTAGCATTTTTGGATACTCTAATAGAGATGCAACGATGGAAGATTTAAATGCTATGAAATATTTGGAAGCCGTAATAAAAGAATCGCTTAGAATGTATCCAAGTGTGCCGGCTTTTACGAGAGAACTAGATAAACCATTGCACCTCAGTCAGTATTTCAAATCTCCATAATGTTATTTTTTTTAATTATTAGAAATTTAGTTACTCTTTCGTTTTAATTCGTTCTAGTTTTTATAAATAGATTTAATTTCATTATAAACAACGTCAGTATATAATTATTTTCAAATAATAAAAATTCATTTGTATTTATTACGGTACTCCAATGATTCGTATAGTCAAATTATAATTATTTAATAAATAAAATAAATCGCAATGCATAAAATGATAAATTTTTAACTATAAGTCAATCAAGTTAACATTTTTGATTCATAGGTACGTATTAAAAATACAATTCGTAAAAAGTGGTAATACTATAAATGTATATCCAATGTGAATACATTGATTTTATATTGCGTCAAAAGCATTTTGTATAATATTGTTTTAATTTTTTTCAGACAAATATATTATTCCTCCAATGACTACAATTACGGTATATCCCTTTATTCTACACCGTAATGAAGAAATATATCCAAATGCTGAAGAATTTATCCCTGAAAGATTTTTGGACGAAGAAAATAAGGCGAAGTTTATATTCGGATATTTACCATTTAGCGCCGGCGCTAGAAACTGCATTGGTATGATTGGTTTCGTTTTTGAAAATGTTCAACAAAAACATATTTTGAAACACACCTTGGTTAATGTTTTAGGACAAAAGTATGCTATGAATCAAATGAAAATAGTTGTATCAACTATTTTACGGAATGCTGGGTTTGAATCTATAGGACGAAAAGAAGATATTCAAATCAGTAGTCAATTAATTATAAGAATCGAGTCACTTCCAAAAATGAAATTTTATAAGCTTTAATATAATTATAAATGGCGTATTGAATAGGTGTAAAAATTATTTATTATTGTTCCATATAAAATATTTTATTTGAGTACATAAATTGTAATTTATTAATGCATTAGCTAAGGATAGGCAATACCTATATGTTTTTTTTTATAAAATAAACTTTTATCCAAAAGGTAAAAACTAAAAAGTATTTTGACAACAGCACAGTGCAGTAATGTTATGTTAAATTTTGGGAACAGAGGTACATCAAATGATATTCAATTTAATTGTTAAGATAATTGTGTATTGTTAATGTTGTCGTTTATTCGTTTTTACACTTAAAAAACGTACGATAATAATTGTATATTATACATTTAATATCCTAGGTACACGAAAGAGTTGTTGGTATCCATAAAAAAAAGGAAAGTAAATAACCTCTTTGCTTTACAAAAAAAAACCACTTTACCGTACAGTAGGTGTAGAGTGTTATGCGTATGTTAATTTGAATTCAATGATAAATCATTGCATCGTGTAAAAAAATGATTTATAGTATTATGAGGTAATCTAATAATAATAATGACTTCTCCTAACGTTGTGTTAAGCTTTCAAGGTTTTTGTTCATTATTTAATAAAAACGCTAATTTTAATTTAAATTTTAATGATAAATAACTTGAAGATGTTCATTATTTAATAAAAAACCCAAACATTTCAAATGTCTATAAATACCTAAAAAATATATATATATAAAGTACTAATTCAAATATTTAGTTAAAACTGAAAGTATCTACGGCTAATTATTTTTAAATTAGAACAAAATAGGAATATTTGACTTTGACGAAAACCGGTATTGCATAAAAATGTTGCTGTAATTTCCCGATTGTCTATTTCGAAACATCCTGAGATCTTTCAATTTTGACCTCCCAAAAGTACCGACTGGTAGCTAGATCCAATTCGCTGTCAAAAAACACTTGATTGAAGCATTTTTCTTAATATAAACTCGTGTAAACATCCACCAAACGATGAATCGCAAAGAATGTAAAAACAATAAATTAATCACTCCACTCGGAATATAAATGACTGGTAAAAAATAGTTTTGGGATGTAGTTATCTTGTAGCAGTAAAACACTAAGCTGTGTATAAAAAGTTAGGTCCTACCAAACGCAGTCTATCAGTGTTAACACCGGTGGAATTATAGACTTGTGATTTCATTTTTTCGTATATTAAATATTAATATAATGTACCTAATGTCCTCATGATACCGTTTTCCTATTGTTGAGTACCTATTACTACTGATATATGATATTATGCAACGAGAATGTGACCTCGCGGACATAATATTAACGTTATAAACCAGTTACATCCTAACGTGGTTTTTTTGGACTACGTTGAACACCAACACTACTACGTTGTCGATGTCGGTCGCAAAACAAAACTACACAATATTGCATTAATTGGACAGCAAACCTGCATAATAATATGACGCGTTGTCTCCGCCTTACAGACACACAACAATATGGCTAATATTTTACGTTTACGATAGTCCATTTTCTCTGTTATTCTGTTAATTTAGAATTCAATGAGTCATTGTAAGATTTAAAGGCAAGAATATTTTCTACTGTCTCCCAAACTTTTATTGATATTTTAACTGTGAAACAAGTTATGGGCGTCATATAACTTTGCATTTTTATAAATTTTCAACTACCTATCTACAATCTTGCTTCGTAATAATTAAAATATCAATAAAAGCCTCTGAGATGTCTCAGGTTATTAGATATATCTTACTTTAAATATTATAATAGTTCAATCAGCTCTGGTTTTAAAAACAATAGAATAAAATGGATATCGTAAACGTGCCAATTTGGTATGCTGTACATTTGTAAAACGAGTGTTGTCATGTGGGAGTGGCGTCCCACAGAACCATGGAGATATTAGTCATAAGTAGGTTTTTAACTACGCGCAATTCGTAACCAGCATATCGCAGTACACAGCTGTTAACCGATGCACTCTCTTGGCTGTGGTGTGACACAAAATTATTATTGAACCAACATCATCAATAAAATATCATCGTTTAAAATTTAAATCAACCGATCACATCGCGTCGTTTCGTTACTCGGACGTTGTGGATAACATCAAATCATTATCTATTATAATTATACAGACTATACTGAAATTGTGACGGAAATGATTGAACTGAACGTTTACAATGTGCTTTTGTTGTCTTTGGCGAGTTTATTATCTTACGTGATATGGTTGCGACTACGCATGCCGGTGGAATACCGACAGATCTCGTCTCACGTGCCGTCCGTAACGAAAAACTTTTGGAGCGAGATGCTACTTTCGTGGAAACTAGCGATGATGCAACCGAAAGGTAGGTAATCACGAAGTGTGTGACATCATATTGATTTCAATTAATTTTTGATCGAATTAATCGATTATTCACCAACCATCACGCTCACCCGTATTTTCTTCGATAAGTAAATTATTCAAAATCTGAGTTTTGAAATTATTAAATGTATAATGTTTTTAATCATCACATTTTCAAATCATTAAGATTATTTAAGTTTTTCAAACGAAGACTTAGAGCGTTTTACTTTACATTTTTTTCTGAAAATGTGAACTTATCTGAATAAAAATTCGAACGAGTTGTTTTTGAGTTACTGAACTTAATGTACTAAGGATAATTATAGGTCCATGGTAATGGGTTAATAAATACGGAAAGTATGATAATTTAAAAATGTCAGTGATTAATATTATGATTAACCTATCATATCAACATTAATAATTCGTAAAATATAGTTCAAATAATATAATAAATACTAGGTTCAATACTATATATCTAGGCACTTGATATTTTTTTACAACTATTTTTAAGGAATATTTTCCTAAGTATGAACATTTAAATTACTGATAAACTATTAGTTTGAATTTTAAGTACATCAATGTTTTCAAAAATAATACTACTTATAAACTCGAGAGATTGATTTCATCACATCATATTGATATTTAATGTTAGACCGTCATTGTACATAATATATGAAACTAAACGCCTTTAAATAAAAGTACCCATGTTTAGGTATGTGTTTGTTGTTTGTGGAATACTATTTTACACTTTTACTATATAATTAATACTACCATACCTAATTATTAAAAATGTATAATAAAAATGTTTTGTATGCAAGGTTATCAATAATTATTAATTTATAATGATTAATAATAGGTAATATGATTATTACTGTATTCGTAATACAACTGTCAACAAAATATTCGATAGGTACCAACCAGAAAGTGTATACAGATTATTAAAACTTTTAATCGAATTTATCTACTCGTATGTACATAGGTAGGTACTTGTACTTTTACCAACACAGTAATAATTAATAAAAGAAGTAGGTACCCAATATAGTGTATAGACGTATAGTATAGTATTTTCAGAAAATTAGAACTATAAATAAATTTAAAAATTAAAACCCAACCCGTACGTAATTCAATATCATATCAATAATATAGATAGATTTAAAATATAAACGACATACGTATTGTTCAAATTACATATAGATTAGAATAAACTACAAAATGAAATTACTACAATTTAAAACTAAATCAGTATTAAACATTATACAATTGCTGTAGCATATCAAACGTATTATTTATTATAATTTTCGATTGATAAATTTCTATTTTTCTTAAAAATTATTTAGATATTTTGCCATTTATCATGGATATAATGAGGAATAACGGTCCAGTGGTTCATTTTAACCTTTCAGGCCGATCATATGTTTTTCTAAACGATCCAGACGATTTAAAAGTAAGTGATTGAATTATATATTATTATAGGAACATTAAAGTTTTTAAAATGTAGTTACTTCAAAATATTTCTAAAGTTCAACTGAACATAAATGTATAACAAGGAATTCAATTTTTGTAACAAAAACCTATTGTAAAGATAAAATAAAATATGAAATTAACGCAATTTAGAATATCATCTTAATTTTTATATTAATTTATGTTTTATCGAAAAATATTAATTAACTACGAACGATATAAACAACTAAACAAGTAGGTACCAAAAAGCTTAATATTATGCTGGAAATGCGTTTTTAAATATTCAATACAATATTTTGAACAAATCAAATCAAATTAGGTAATATTAGTAATTATTTTTTGATTCAATTTAATTGATCACTGTGTGTAATATGAATTATCATTTTTGTTTTTCTCACCATAAAATAAATATTTATACATTTGTGTAATTTATAAAATACATCATTAAATACAATAATTCTATTATTATATTATATATATTCTAACAAAAAGGCGAGGGTATTTGATTTTAACGTACCCCTGTCCCCTGATATAATTAAAAACAAAACCAAGTTAAAATACTTATAAATATATATATATATATATATATTTACATACAGATATATATATATCTGTATCTGTAATTGAATAGGTGTACAAAGTATCTTATAAAAGACTGGCTATTACCTATAATAGCTATAATAAATTACAAAGCTTTAAAAATCTGTTATCATCAGCTATTACAGTAAAATAATAATCGTATACTATAATTAATAATTATACATTTAATATAGATTCTGCTGTCCAACACTCAACATATCACAAAAGGTCCAGAATATGAAATGTTAACACCATGGCTGAACGAAGGTCTTTTATTGAGCTCAGGTATGTTTATCAAAGGTATGAAATGAAAGAATAACGCGCTAGTGTGCTACGCATACACAATTTTGGAAACCGATAACAAATATTATCATCTACTTATTTGTAATATTTTATGTAAAATGCTAACCTGTAAATAATTCGATTATGTAGGTAAATGCTGTAGAAAAAACATGTTTTTAACTCCAATGTTTTTCACATTTTTCACTGGCCGTTGACGTAATTTACCGAGATGGATTACTACATAAGCCTAAATATGACATAATTTAACTGCCTCTGTTGTTACATTATAATATTCTTTTTTAACGCAGCTATCATTCTATTTCTACCACCATATCCTACTACCATAGGGGGCCGTGTAAATAACTTCAAACAACTCGTCTACTGAGGTGTAATATTAAACATTTGAGTCATTTTCAACCATAGGTTATTTAATCAATTTGTCTTTACTGCTAATGGTCACAACATCATAAGCCTATTATTCTTTACCGTTTTTTTGTGTGTCCAATTTTTAAATCCATTACTTTTTTAACGTTATAGCTGTGTTATTCTGCAGAACTAAAATAAAATATAGCGTCGATTCGTTATTACCACCTCGTTGTATTGTAAATACTTTTTGCGACTGCTGCTCTAAATTTTTTCTCCATACTTTAATATTATAATTAAATATGACTAGTAGGCTATCATTTAATGAAACTTTTATTTAAATATTTCTCGAGTGACATAACATACTTTAACAAATGATTATAAAATACCACCATTTTTTATATTCAACTCGTCAAAATATCAACGTAGAAACTAATTAAGTAACAAACCATTTCATATTATTATGTAGGTTATCGCTAGTTGGGTTTTCTGTCTAATTTCACCATAATATTATTTACTAACGAATATTTGTCGCGTATACACTTAAATATATTATATATCACTGAAGATTGAACGTTCATGAACATTGTTCAAGCTATCAAAAATATATTGAACGAAATTCTCCTACTAAACTGGTGATAGACGTCAATAACCGGAAACGTCTACATTTAAAACATTTACCGATTTTTTAAGAAAATTACATTAATCACCACGTTTATATAATTTACTGTAACATATTATATATCTACAGGTCAGAAATGGCATAGCCGACGGAAGCTGCTCACCAACACGTTTCATTTCAAGACATTAGACATGTACAATGCTTCCATAAACAAGCACTCGCGCATATTAGTGGATAAGCTATTGGACGCCTCTGTAAACAGCAATGAAAAAAATTCTATCGCTGATTTTGTAACTTTGTGTTCCCTCGACATTATTTGTGGTGATTAATTATGTAACATTTAATTTCCGGTTATTAATACAATTTTGAGTATACATATCCAAATAATTTACTCAACGTATTATAATAAGATATGGTGATATACCTATTCAGTTGAATATGTAAATTAAAATATAAATCAATCATTTGGACAGCAATAAAATTGTCATAACTTGTGTACACAAACAAAGTATATTGTCTGTTTTAGAAACAATAATGGGTACTGAGATGAATGCTCAAGAAGGTAAATCAGTCCAATATGTCCATTCAATTAAATGGTATACCAAAATTTAAAACTATTTAAATTTGAATTTAAATATTAAAATTTAAAACTATCTAAATCTAAATACCAATAAAACTAAATATAACATTTTAAGAAATAATTATGATTTTACAGTAAAAATTGTTCTAATTTCTGACTAAAAAATATTTAAATTCAATAGTTACTTATATTTAATTATAATTATTTATTCGTAATTTTTTTTTTTTTTAGTGCTTGCAAATCGGTGATTGAACGTATTTTCAAATTCTGGCTGTGGAATGATCTGGTTTATAAAATGAGTGGAAGCGGTCAAAGATTTTTTAAATCAATCAAAGTGTTACACGACTTTACTGATAACGTGTGTACACCAAAAGGCTAAATAATGCGTTTTATTCCATATAACCTTACCTAACTGTTTAGTGTTCTCTGTTTTAATCGTATTATTAATACCAATAACGAATAACACAAATAATAAAAAAAGCTGCAGAGATAACATAATTATTCTCCTCGTTTTATATCTATATATGACATGACACAGAATATTGTGTTTTATCGATAGTTATTTTTATTCTTTCCTAACCTAACTAGCGTAAATTATGTTTTTACTGTAGGTTATTAGAAACAAACGATTGTCGTTAAATAACTCTGAAATTGAAAAAGTGCAGCCAGGCAGTAAATTTGGTACGTAAAAAAGAAAGATTGTGGTTTTCTATACATTCGTCGAACGTCATAAATTTCAATATTTTTAAAATACATTAAGGTATAGGTATTTAAGAAAATATCTATTACTTATATATTTGTACTAATCGTTTAGAAAAACCGCAAAAAAAATCATTCTTAGACTTACTTCTCTACGTTTTGAACGACTCGCCGGATCAGATGAACGACAGCGATATTCGCGAAGAAGTAGATACATTTCTTTTTGAAGGCCACGACACATCTTCCATTTCGATGACAATGACTTTGATTTTGCTGGGGATTTATCCTGATATACAAGTAAGGATTCTTTGATTAATGTCACATTTCAATAATATTAATGTTATTTAATGACAGAATCGAGCTAGGGACGAGCTACATAGTATTTTTGGGGACTCTAACAGAGATGCAACGATGGAAGACTTAAATGCAATGAAATATGTAGAAGCTGTTATTAAAGAATCTCTTCGACTTTATCCCAGTGTGCCAGGCATTACGAGGCAACTACAAACTCCATTACAGCTTAGTAAGAACTTTGTTTTGATACTTATTAGAGAATCAATAATTCTTATGAAAAAATGTATTAACTTTATTATATTTCTATATAAATTATAAATTACATCAGTACATTACTTTATTTTTGAAAAATAAAAGATTGTTTGAAATAATCCCATTGTACCTATATTTAAAATTTTTATAGTTAGTACCTAGTTAAATTATAATTTTTTAATTAAAACAAATCGTATTATGAAATGCTTATTTTTTAAAAAAAAATCAATAACTTCAATATTTTAATTTATATATACTTAAAAATACAATCTATAATAAGTAACAACCAATAATACAAATTGCACTTCATTATAAAGATCCAAATTGTGAATAGGTTAAAAAAATATTATCTCATTGTTTTATTATATTTACAGAGAATTACATTATTCCTCCGATGACTATAATTGCAGTATATCCTTTTATTCTGCACCGCAGTGCAGACATATATCCGAATGCTGAAGAATTTATCCCTGAAAGGTTTTTGGACGAAGAAAATAAAGCAAAATTTCAATTTGGATATTTACCATTCAGCGCTGGCGCTAGAAATTGTATTGGTATGATTGATTTTTTTTACTTCTCAATTACATTTATAGCCTATATGGCTATATGGCTATATGCCATTATATAAAATAATGAACAATCACGATATGCGAAAAGAATATTATTTATACAATGTATAATATTTTGGTTGAGATAATGTTGCTAGTATAATATTATGAATTCAGAAATATAATAATTACAGATAGGTCATAGAAAAAATGATGATTTTTAAATATGCAATAGGTTATTTTTAAATTAAAACAACCTAATTTGCATATTTTATTAGCCAATTACATTCTATTTAAACCACAAGATAAAACATCATCCATACCTATGACTACCATAATTTTGTTCATAAATTTGAGGTAAAATGTCTTGAGCGTGTTGTCAAGCAGAGCCTGCCCCACTTAGGAGTCCGAAATGAGTGTACCATGTGTGTAAAGTCTACATTGTTGGGGGTCTGTATTCCGTGCTATATAAGGGGTTATGCCCCCCATGGACCGTATCATATAATATCATATAATATATAAAAAATAACCGTAAATTTATTAATTTTGGCTATGTACCGGTTGAGAGTTAAAATTACAAAAAATGTAATGGTTATTGTTTATCAAAACACCGTAGAATGATAAGCGTGTCATTATCATCAATATTTKMMAAATATTTGAAAAATTAAAAACACTGTTATTTGAATGTTATTTATTAAATTTTGTTTGCCCCCTCTCTAGTAGAAATCCTGGATACGCAACTGGGGGAGGGTGTTAAGCGATATCTTCAAATTACCTGTGATTCGCAAATAAAATATTATACTAATTGTTATGTATCAGAATGATAAAGTCATGTGTATTGGTAATTGTAAATTCTTATTTTTAAATTAGTTACCTATTTGAATATAATTATTATACTCATATAAAATATGCAAACAAAATCGTTAGCTAAAAATCACCATATTCTAATTTTTCAAACATAGTTCGTTTTTCGTTAGCTAACCTGTATGCAGATGTTAGGATAAAAGTTTTCAGTTTTATAATTTAGAAAAATGTTGAAACTTAACTTTATACTAATTCACTTTTGAATATTGTTTCAGGACAAAAGTATGCAATGAATCAAATGAAAATAGTTGTATCAACCATTTTACGGAATGCAAAATTTGAAACCTTAGGAGTCAAAGACGATATTCAAATTAGTACACAATTAGTCTTGAGAATAGAGTCACTACCGAAAATGAAATTTTTTAAGCTTTAATTATCCATAACAGTGTGAATTGATATCCTAGATAACCTAATATTTATATCCATTAAGTCATAATATTTTTTTTATTAAATTACAAAAATTGTAAGTACCTACCTATATGGCTATATGTACCTATATGTACCTATAGGTACTTTTTGTCTTTGTGTGTGTATGTCACGACGTTGTACGAGTAGTAAGGAGGCACTCATCCTTGTGGACCGCTCATCCTCCACATTCATATGATTTATTTAAATTAAGGAACATTCTACCTTGAGTAGCATATTTATTTACCAGGCATTAACTTATGTAATATGTATATTAATTGTTTTAAACATAATGTCATAATGTGAAAATTATATTTGTATTCCGTCAATTAGTAATACAGCAGATAACAATGCGTATAGTTTATTTTTTTTTTAATTCTAGCACTCTAGCAGTAATTAGCTTTATAATAAAAGAAATAATAAATTATTATTTGCAAAAAGTTAATTAGGTAGGCATGTTTTAAAAAGTTATGTGATAGTGCATCCATAGATAATATTTCAGTTACACTTATTACAGTAAAAAAAAAATAAATACAATTTGTCAAAAGCTGGTTTTAAGTAAAGATTTCAATTTTTCCTTATTAATATTTTATAATAATTATTAAAGTTATAATATCATGATTATATAATACTATTAAAATGAAGTTTTTATACCAAATATTAGATAGGTACTTACTCTACCTAAACTCCCAGTGGGAATCTATAGTGGGAGTCTCCCACTATAGATTATCTCTATATTTTTTTCTTTTGATTTCCCTAAGAATTTGGTTCTACTGTCTTGTAGTAAACATTGATATACCTAGTACCCAGTCACCAGTGGTTGAGTGGCTCCAATCTATTTTACAACAAGTAGGGCAAAATCAACCACCAACCCACCCAAGTATTTACATATTCCTACCTATAATCTATATACATATCAAATTTAAAGAAAAAAATATTTATAATAGTGTTTATTTATTTATATTATACAGGGTGATTCGTTTATCAAACAACACTCATTATTTATAAAAGTATTGACTTTTTTCAAAATATTGTTTTACATAGTTTCAAGTTGTTAAAAAACCAACGCTTTTATTAAAAAATTATATTTTTAAATATTTTTTATCCTTATCATTTTTTAAGT